CAGCGATAACTAATCGTTGTACGTAAACCTTGTTTAATTGAGATCCTGGAATTAATTTTTCTAGAGATAAAAATTGGCAAATGGTCACTCATCCCAATATCTAGCACGCTTGATTTAATAACATTATCTTCCTTAGAGGTAAAGATAAGGTCAATTGTTTTACCTGATATTGGCCTGGTAACTGCATCAATAAGTTGTTTAAGCTGATACTGAGATGTTAGAACATGAAGTTGTTGATAAGAATGTTTATCTTGAAAATTTGTGTTTAAGTCCCCTAACATAATTATCTTTTTGTGTTCATTGTCAGCCATGTCTAATACATAGTTTAAGTTATCTCTCCAGAGAGTATTATTTCCCGGTTGATACATAATGGCCATCAGGAAGGGTTTTGAATTAGGATGCTTAAATTCCAACCAAATAAATTCAAGCGGATAATTATTTTCTTGTAAGGAGAAATCATTGCGATATTGAAAATTAATTGTTTCTGGGATATAAATCAGAATACCTCCACCTGAGGCATAAGTTCGGTCCTTCCTAATAATGTTGAACTCTCTAATTTGCAATTCGTCATCAGACCAGTTAGAATTTAAATGACGGATACGGATACAGATACAGATACAATGCAATGCAATTTCATGGGTTTCACAATGATTTGAAGTAGTCGGCTGTACCATAAAAGTAGCCGGCTGTGACTGATAGTTAAAAAGTCGCGCGGGGAGGGGGGCGTGCCCTCGCATGAAAATTTAAATTTTCGCCGCAAATGGACCAATCCCCAATTAACCAAAATTTTGATCTCAACCCGTCTAGACAAAATTCCATCATAGCATGAAAAAGCATCACAAAATTAATAATATTCCAAAGTTTCGTTGGAAATGTTGTAAAATGCGTATAATGTAGCCTTGGGAAATTCGTAATTTTCAGTAATTTTCATTTTCCGTTTGTAATCTAAAATTACTGAAAATTGAAAATTTCGCAAGGCTATATTATCCGCATTTTACAACATTTTGCAACGAAACTTTGGAATATTACTAATTTTGTGATGCTCTTTCAAGCTGTAATGAAATGTTTGTCTAGACTTGTTGAGTTCAAAATTTTGGTTTTAATTGGGGATTGGAACATAACAAACATCGTGTTGGTTCGCTTGTACCTTTGTATAGAATTTTTTTTCTGTGACCAGACGAAAAGTAGCCGGCGGTAAATATTCAAGTAGCCGGCGGTAAAAGTTCAAGTAGCGGGCGGAACTCCGGCAGCCGCTGGCTTAGTCTGAAACCCTGATGCAGCAATGCAATGCAATGCAGCGCAACGCAACGCAACGCAACGCAACGCAACGCAACGCAACGCAACGCAAAGCTTGGCAGCTAAAAAGAAAATTTTGTTTTTCTATTAGATATGACGAGGAGCTTGTAATTCCCATAATTGACAATACACCAGAAGAACGGAATTTAAAGGTACACTAAAACTGGAATGTTGCCATAACATGAACGTCTTTTAACAGAATAGGAGCAAATGGCATGCAGTCATTGAAGAGAGTTGTGAAGAGGCGTAGCAAATTCCAGTTCCCAGCTTAATTTCGATCGAAATCCCAGTTACGAAATCTGAAATCATCCATAGTGGATATTTTAAAAATATGCATGTAATGAATTTAAAAAGTGATGTCATTCCATGGACAACAAACCGCATGCGCAGAGCATGGAAACGTGATGGCGGCTATGCTTGCTCGCGGCAACAATGCGAGATTGGGAGGAAAATTTGTTTCGATGTGTTTTGAAGAGGTCTACTATTACAAAATGTAATTATTTTTGCTGTATATTCCACTTTCCGGTCCAAGAGCTTAATCCCAGTTCCCATTTTATCCCTTCACGACCCTCATTGAAAGCTGTCATTTTGGCCATGTGTGGTAGCTGTTTAAACCTTTTATATAGAAGCGTTTGGGTTTGGTTTCGGTCCTAACGTATCGGTCAAAGTATGTTACCTAAGCGGCTTGTCAGCCTTATCACTGCATGTTTCAAGCTGCTTGAAACAGTGATAAGACTGAATTCACTAGATCGCTGCGGTCTCTTGCGAAAATAAAGTTACAAGATTTAATTGAAAATAGATGGGGACCATCACTAACCTGCTTAATTCTCTTCATCAAACTGAGCGGCCAAATCTTAACTTCAGTTTTTTTATTATTTCTTCTCAAGGAGGGAATGGTGGAAGCCATGGAACAGTATCCAGATTCTTGCGCAGTGCTTGTTCGACGGCATGGTGTGTACGTTTGGGGTGAAACATGGCAGAAAGCTAAAATCATGTGAGCATTAACCCAACTCGATTTACCGCATTACAAGAGCAGCCAGTGCACAGTCACCTATATGTCATGAGTTCCCATGAGATTTTTATTTAGTGATGCATGTATTTGGCTAATGCATGGTCTGTGAGGAACTTACCCCGTTTGGTCCGAAGGAAACCTACAGCTTCCTACCGTGATCCAACCTCGTTCCCAGGGCTTTTCCCTTTTTGTCATTGGGAAGGCGGGAAAAGGCCCTGGCACTAGCCTGCGAGCAGGCTCTCTGGGGAAAGAGAGCCTGCAAGGATCCCTATGATGATTCGGTGCATGCGTCCAATATTTGGACGCAGTGCTCTGATTGGTTGATAACTGATTCATATGAAGTGATTGACAAGCTTCTATAAACTTGCACTTCCCGTTTGTAAAACCGAGCAACGCAAAGCTTCGGAATTGCGGCAATGTAGAGATAAAAATGTCATGTATTTTGATCCTGGTTGACTTTTTACTGTAAATTAATATAGTATTCATATAAAGACGAATACTAAAAGCTTGCATGCTTTATTGTGTCCTTGGCTTGTCTAACCTGAGTATCAGGCTCTCGGTATTGAAGAGAGCCTGACACAATTCGCCTCTACGGGCTTTCCACCCCCAGAATATCAGCCAATTAAAATTATTTCCGGTTGTAGCATATTTCCGGTTGTCCGCTACAGGTATGTAAATACGCAAATTCCGTTATTTGCAGTTTTATATAAATTTGAATAAATACGGAGAAAAATCGGTATGTTTTTGTCGAAATATCCACATGATGGAATTCTAAGCGTAAACTATGCCTTATTCGGGGAACCATAGCTCGATGGCTTTTTCCAGGAGTCTAAAGAGACAACATTCGGCGCTCTGAATAGGATTTCTTCTTCCTCGGTCCTCGTGTCATGTTAATAGTTTGTTCGAGACAGCTATTCGCTTCAACTGCGTCTGACACAGCGGCTATTGTCTTCAATTTCTGCTTGATGTTGGCATATTAGTTCGAGCGAGCTGACTACTATATCCTTGCAGGTCTTGGAAAACAGCTCGGCAATAAACTGATAAATAAGGCTTCAGCTTTTTGGAACTAAATATTTGAAAATTTCCGACATCCACATATTTTCGTTCTACGGCGACTATTACGGCGAGATATTTAAACACGCTTTCTACTATGACTATGTAGTTTTAGTTTTATACCGAGTAAAATGTTGCTGCAAAAGCGTTTTCAACGTCTTTTCGTACTTATTTTGTCATTTTTAGGCTTAATTAATTGAAAATAAATTTCAGAAATAAAGCACTTTTAACAGTATATTGACAAAATTACAAATTCTATTTTTGGTGTTTACATACGCCGGTCATATATTTCCGGTTTGAATCACATGATGCGTTTTATCGTCTCTTAGCTAATCAGCATAACATCCAGATTCTGGATGTTGAACATGGCTTTTGAGGCGTTTCGTGTCAGGCCCTCTTTCAATATCGAGG